CTTACTTTTGATTATATTTTCGAGTAAATAGTTATACTAACCGTTTTCTAATGATTTCAGCCCAAACTTTTTTCATCTAAGGCTCTATATCTGAGCTCACCGTGCGGGCATAAGGGAATGTTTCCTCTCGAGTTTTCTAAGTCTACACAAGCTTGTCATGGCTTAGAACTAAGGGTCTGGCAAGCCCAAGGGGGCACCATCAAGGAGAACTCGAGTACCTTTTTTTTAGAACATAAATCGGGAGATTATGGAGAATTAGAGCCCACCCCAAAACCTCATTTCCAAACCCTAGGCTTGTTTGATATTATTTCCTGCTTTACTTTCTGTTTAAAGCATGTGAACTATATAAATATGCGGTTAGGATGTGTTTGAAATTAGCAGGCGGGATAGAGATCATGTCCGGGTAGGAATTAAAGCATGTGGGGTAGGACTTTTATTTTCATGATTTTTTTTATCTTTACCACACTAACTCTTTTTATTTTTCTTTTCATTTATTTCATTTCATCTTTTGCATCATTCATTCAAAAGAGGTGTTGATCCACCAAAAACGTGTTAGTTAACAAAATAATCTGAATTAATGAACAAATGTGTTTTAATACAAGAGATGAAAATGCAGAGGACAGTCTACAAGGCGACTGTGTGTGTGTCACATTCAATCCAGAAGACGTGGTGCCCACAATTGTAGATTATATCCTCTATTGCATTATAAAGGACTCAGAAGAATCAGTCTACATCAAGCACGGTGAAAGTCTATCTTGGAAGAACTGACTGATAGATGTTGTAGGGCAAGATGAAAGTTACTGATCTTGGGAGTCCCTTCAAAAAAAACAATGGCAAAACGATAGTTGAAATTGGAGACCATTGCTGACGAATTCAAGAAACAGAGAAATGAACTTCACATAGTTCCTATCAATTTACGGCTCCAATGACGTATTCGTTGGGAATAGGCTCAACAAAAGATAAATGCCAGAGATGCAGTCATTTGAGACTTCTTGGGCCAGTACAAAAAGCAACTTAACATTTACACGGTTCATCCAGAGAAGTCAGATCAATTCGACAGGTTATTCAACGGGTGACAGACGAAGGCAGAAGACTAGTCAGCATGTCAGAAGCTGTCAGGATATTTTTGTCTCTTAAAAGATAAAACATTTTTGTCCCCAATAAGGATTATTCATAATAACAGGCACATTTTTTGGATCAATGCCTCGAACATTTCATGCATTTTTGCATTTTGCATTTCATTTTTAAGCATTTTCATGAAATCAAGTCATGGAGAATTCGATGAAGTGGTCCTAATCACGTGACACCACATAGAAGCGATATTTTAACAATTAAAAAAACTAAAATCAATACAGTGGGAGCCTGATCAGCTGATTGTAGGACAAAGCCTGCCAGGATGATCTGAGACCAGAATCCCCATATCCTAAGGGCTACGATATTGAAGCTGTGTGCAGTTACCACATAAGAAGCTTCAGTCACTCCTCAAAGAACTATAAGGCACCAAAGATTGAACACGTCTTTGATCTTTCATGTTTGCTTAATCTTTTAATGATTGAATTTGTGCTACCTTCTAAGGTGGAATAATTGAAAAAAAATTAATCTTTAGTTCTTTGAATATTAAATGAATTAAGGATTCTTTTAATTCTTCAAGAATTATAGATTTTTGACATATGGCAAGATTAGACCTTTCTTATCCTATCTCAAATCCCCAAAAAATACCTTGATTCTTTACCCAAAATAATTGATGATCATTACCACAAGACCAGATTTTGACATTACCAACCTTTGAAACTTTTGAACCTTTCTTTTAGTCAATAAAGTTACACCACTGTCTTTTTAGGCTCAAAATTGACTTTTTTATACCACTAAGGCCTAAGACATTGAGTTGTTCATTTGGACATGAGACTTCTTCTAACTCGGGGCATTTCGCAGGAAGTCTGAACATTAAGACATGTCGGGACCAAGAAGCAGAAAGAAGAATTCATTCGAAATAATTCTATCATGCATTAATTACACTGTTTTCATGTAAATGAAATTAATCTCGAAAATCTATCCCCCTAGGGATACATCTTCTGTGAAAACTTCTATGTATGAAATGATGAACGGCTTTATTTCTTTATCCCTTCACAACAGGAGAAAATATATATCCCTTGTGTCCCCTTTTGAGCCTATAGTATTTTTCTTCTGATTCAACCCTAACCAAGGATCACCCTCCACACTGGGGGGCAAGGTGGAAGAAAGCTGCTCACATGAGTAAAGGCATCAATCCAAAGGAGATACCAAATGCCAAGTGCGAAGATTCAATCATAAGAAAAAAGAGAAAAAAACAAAGAAAAAGCAAATAAAAAAAATAAAAAAGAGAAACAAAAACAAAGGAAAAAAGTGAAGAAAAAGAAGACAAGATGCATATGTAAAGATTCACTCGATTAAAATGACGCGTCGAGATTCAAATTATGAGATTGATCAAGCACAATTATTCCAGAATCACTTCACTCGAAGATCATGCATTCAAAGAAAATCAAGAGAAACACATATGAGCAGAAACAAATTGGGCAAGACAAGATTGAAGGCATCAAAATGAATTGATCCATGGTTCGATACCCTGAAACACTTGTTTGGGCCTATTTATCCTTTTCTTTCAAAACCATTAACCATGACCTACATTACGTGCCTTAAAAGTCCTTTATAATCATACATGAAGTTCTGAACAGAAGAGACTATCTTTAGATTTCATCACGCCCATCAGGTTTAATCTTTATTTACAAAAAACAGTGTAAATTCATGATAGAGAAAAATAACAAAGAAGGGTTCAAGACGTAAATTTCGAATGCACTACAAGAAAATATACATTTAATGACAGACGAACGATGACACACACTAATTTATGACTTGCAAAAAATGTGTCATAAAAAAATGTCATTTTTTTAAAATTTGAACGATTTATGACTTACAATAATGTGTGTCATATTTAATAGTCATAATCTAAAAAATTTACAAAAACACAAAATACATTTTTTAATTGTGTGTCATCCATAAAAATCGTATTTTAATTTCCCTATTATTTTCATCATTTCCCGCTTCTTCCCCTTCTATAATTAGTTCACGCCTAATGTTTTCCACTCCTTTCATTCTCTCCTTTTCTCTCTTGATTTTTATCTCGATTCTCTTCTTCTTGTTAGGCCCGAGTTTGACTGTGATAAGCTAAAACAGTTCACATACAAAGCTTATCCCTGAAAATTCCTAAATTTCATATATCCTTTCAAAAAAATTTAAACAATGGTTGGAGAAGACAACATCTCGAATCCACTAATGGAGGATATGTGTGCGAACGACATCGGGGATGTAGACGATGCACCGTCATCCTCAACGGAGCAAAAGTTATGGCCCATCATTAGTGGCGAACACCTAGAAATTGAGGCCTATGCTGCATTTTACTCCGGCTGTACCAAGATCATGAGGCTCATATTCATCGTCGACCACTGCGACAATACCACAATACATTTGGAATCCCTAAGGATGGCTTATGATGAGCTCAAAAAGGGGGAGAACAATCAGCTATTCTGTGAAATAGTCCAGAAGATCGACGGTTGATTGGGTCTGAACTATTCGATGGATGCCGCCTATTGCGCTATGGTTGATCGAAAAGCCGAGCAAAGGAAAGAGAAGCTCGAGAGTGAACTCAATATCTACAGGGTAATTTTATCTTTCTTACTAAATTTATTTTCTAGAAACTATTTAGTTCTTTAGTTCTTTTAATTTGTTTGGTTTCTAACTTTCAGACTAATTTAATCAAAGAAAGTATAAGAATGGGTTACAATGATTTTGGATATTTTTAATATGCTCATGGTGCACTGGGGGATGCTTTTAAAAGCTACGTTCGAACTCGAGATTACTGTACTACGTCAAAGCATATTATTCAAATGTGTTTGAGCGCTATTCTTGTGAGCATTGAGATGGGTCAATTTTCTCATGTGAGAAGCTACATTAGTAAGGCTGAGCAAACACCCAAGGCACTTGACCCTCCCACAACTGCTAAGCTACGATGTGCCGCCGGATTGCTTCATTTGGAGTCTAAGAAGTACAAGCTTGCTGCTCGGAAGGTTTTTCATCTTATAAATTGTTTTTTGATCTTGCAAAATTCAAACGTTGCAATTTTTCAGCTTACAATGATTTAGGATCGTTACATGCACTATCTTTTATTCCTGATATGTTGAATTTGAGATATGGTTGAAGTGTGAGTAGTACTAATCAAGTCATTTTCTAGAATGTGAGTTCAGAAGCAATTTAAGCCACACAATTTGGTTTGAAATCTTGTCCTATAAGATCAAAATATATGCATCTTGATCTTGAGCTTAATAAGTTCAATGAACTTAGTGTAAACAATCTTCATTTTAAGCATGCCCGGAGCATTGCTTTCCTCAAAGGAAGCCTAGAATCCTTTATGGTATTGGATTTGGTGGAGGACATTATGGTAGAAAACTTAAAGAGAGTTAATTTGATGGACTCAAAAGAAAACTAGTATTGTAGTGTTCGTTCTGATGCTATTGCAGTGCAATGGTTGTGTACCTCAAGGATTTAGTTCTGCTTCCTTTATCTGGAGCAATCCTTAAAAGTTTGTTGGCCTGATCAATTCCTAGTTTGCGTACTATACTTTTTTTTGCAGAGGTATCCGTCTGTTAGTCATCTTGTATTGGTTATTAATATGAAATGTAACAGGCGGGATTTTGTGATTAGTTTTATTTGAGAATTACCATTTCATTGTTGGATTGATTGTCTTTTCTATGCGTGCAGTTCTTGGAAGTGGGTCCTGAATTGGGGAATTCAGACAGTGAAGTCATTGCTCCTCAAGATGTTGCTACTTTGGTGTTCTTTATGCACTTGCAAGCTTTGGTCGAACTGAACTGAAGGCATAAATCTCTCTAGTCTCCTTTTTTTATTTTCTGGTAATGTCTTACTGTTGTTTGATAGATTTGTAGTCATGCAATATATTTTACTTTGCAGAATAAAGTTATTGACAATATCAACTTCAGGGATTTCTTGGAGTTGGTACCTGAAGTAAGGGAGCTTATTAATGATTTTGATTCAAGGTATTATCTATCTTTAAGTAATATGTAGTGAATTTTATGTGGTTAATATTATAATATACAATTTTTTAACCCGTGGCTTCGTTTTTATTGCAGCCATTATGCTTCCTGCTTGGAGTGTCTTGGAAACCTCAAATCTAACCTGATGCTTGACATTCATATACATGACCATGTTGAGACTCTGTATAATCAAATCCAGAGCAAAGCCCTCATCAAGTATACCCACCCATTTGTGTATGTTGATATGCGAATGATGGCTCTGGGATACACTGTTCTGTATATACTCAAAATTTATCTCATGAGTTCATTTACAAGGTTAAAGATGCAGTGGGATACCTAGTGAAGTGGCCTAGACATCTAGTCATTCGATGCTCTTATTTGGTAATATTTTCATTTATTTAAAGTATTATATAGGTCTAATTTAAATGATTTCTTTATATTTTCATTTATTTAAAGAAATTATATAGGTCTGCAATCTCGCCATTAGGACATAAGGAAAAATTCAAAAATAGCGATGAGGCAAGTCGAAGCGTTGCAGATCGATTGTCTCTAAGAAAAGACAATGGCATCGGCCTAGTGCCATATAATCCAGGGTTTGTTTTTCATTTGATTATAAAAAAAATTTAGTAACTTAATTTGGTTTTTGGTTTTTATAAAAGACATTGGGTGTTGGAGGGGATAGATATGAAGCAACAAGTTATTATCATGATTCATTGGGGCCCACCAATGTCCATCAGCAGTTGAAGTAGATTATTAATGCGTAAGTAACATAAATTATCGAAACATTATAGTATATTCTTTGATATATTTCATCAATTTTTATAGGGCAATGATATTATACACTGCTCAAAGTGGATCTAACAAAAGGGTTAGCCTCAATTGGATCAATGTTTTGGTGAGGACTTCGATCATTCGTTGTTTAAATTGCAGCTTTCATTTTGACTAATCGTTTATTGTAAACTGTTTGTAGTGTCTCCGTCAGTCGGGAGGTACCGAGTGTGGATATTATGTTTGTAAGTTCATGAAAGAGATAGTCGAGAACGGACTTGAAGTGCTGGTCAATAAGAATGTAAGCAAACTTTTGTGATACACATCTGTCATATCATACATACACATTAGTCATACAACTATCATATGGACTAGTATATTTTCTTGTAGAATAAAGAATACAACTATCATACATAAACATTTCTCGTATCATATACACATCTTTCATATCATACATACACATAATCCCGTCTCAACAATATATGCAAATGCTAGCTGTAGGAATGCCAATTAAGTTCGTCACAATAAAATGTGTTTTTTGTTACATTGTCCCCATTTCCAGAACTTAGTGGTCTCCTTATGACCTGAAACTAAAGATCCATTGTATTTTTTTTGTGCTTTGTATTTTACCTACAGAGGCGAAATATAAATTTGAGAGCATAGATATTATTTTTCTATGCAAGCTTCATTTCCATTGTTTTGCCTAGTTTTGTAATGCATTTTCCTCTCCCTCAATCTTGTCATGCATGTTGTAGCTCCTGTCAAAATGACATTTAAAATGTAAGTGCTATTCTTTATCTAAAATAGTTGTTATTATTCTCAATTATTGCTTAGCTACAGTATCGATGTTCTCTTTCCTAAACAAATGTTCTCGGTGTTGTAGATATGCATCATGTGTAATACCTATAAATTCCTTCTTCGCATCAAGTCTTTGGTAAGTATTTAACTATGGTATGACTAGAATTTGTGTTTGGTGTGTGGTGTAGTGTTTTCCTTATTATGGTGTGGTTTGTGTTGTGTAATGAGTTACTTCTGTCAGCAAAAAATACATACTGCTTGAAAACCCTGCCGAGACTGAAAGCAGAGTATTACTTGTGAACTTGTTGCTTTTTTCAGACTCTTTTTTGTTTTAAGTATAGTATTGTTCCTCAATGATCTGTCTGTTTTCCTATCCTAATGGTCGTTAAAGAGTTACTGCACCCAAGTTGGTAGAGGTTGACTTGAGTTTGTAAAAATTCTCAACTAAATAAACCTGGATGATTATTGTTAAGCTCAAATCAAGTATAGATGTAGTAGCAATACCTGCTACATGTATTGTTTTATCCTTTATTTTGTTTCTTAAACTTGAACTAAGGTTAAGGGGGTTTCGCGGAGTGGTCAAGTTGCATTCTCTGCATAATAAAGTTTCTTAATTAAGCAGGATCTTAATTTGTTGAATTACTACCATTTGTCTTGCTTCGTGTTTTCATATTTTAATGCCTTGCTTTGAAACTGGTTCTAACAACACTAATTTATTTTTCTTATACTTTTAATAAAAATTAAATTTTAAATGCATTTAAGCCGTTGAGTTGCCAAAAGGTTTATGCTATAGGTTACAAATTGCTTATATGATATAGAGCTTATTATGTACTGGTTGTGTAAAATTTTGAAATCTTTGTTTTATTTAGCTTACCTTTTGTGATATTGTTTTTGCATATTCTAAGCATCCTCATTTTTTTTGTCAATACAGGTTTGGCAACATTGCTATTTGCACATATTTGTGGCTTTTATCTAGATGCTCAAAGCTCTAAGTATGTGGAAACAAAGTGCATTATTGTATATATATATAATGATTATATGTTCTTTCTCAATATCGTATTTTCTTTGTTTTTTTGACTAATCGTTTATTGTAAACTATTTATAGTGTGAATATATTGTATACAAATGGGTTACTTATATATAATATGATATATATATTTAGTATTATGAGGTATTAAATGTGATTTAGTTTGATTATTTGTCAATATACAATATATATATATATATATATATATATATATATATATATATATATATACGAAATACAATCACGTCACACGAATGTGTGTCATTTATTTATGACGGGGGCTTCAATGACATGCAATGTAAGTCATATATGCGTGTCATAAATTTATGACACACAAATGTGTGTCATCTTCATTTATGACGGGGGCTTCAATGACGCTCAATGCGTGTCATAAATGCGCATCATAGATGTGTGTAATAAATGCACGTCATAGATTTATGACACCCAATTGCGCGTCATCAAAAATTCATGTCGGTGGCTTCAACGACAGGTATTTGTGTGTCATCCGTACCCATAGATGACGTGCAATGCGCGTAATTAAAGGGTTTTTTCTAGTAGTGATGACGTCTTGAAACCAAAGAGGATTCGAGTTGAAAACCTAAAAAGGCAGCTTGAATATACAAATTCCTTGATGAGTGTGACCATGAAAGCTGGAGTCGGAGAACACTTCCAGTAAAGGAGCATGCAAGCTACCCCATGAAACCATTGAGAATCAAATAACAAAAATGCCAAACCGTTGACCAAATACAATAACCTGAGACTTTTTTTTCCTTGTTTAACCATTTCCCAAAGATAGCTTTGATCTTGGCACTTGTCAATAGCTATAATTTATTGAATGATTAACAATGTAATTATTTCATTGATATCCAATGAACTATAGTTTTATGATTCGTCTCAGTTGTAAAACCGTGAAAGGGCAATATTTTTAAAACTTTTGATTAAACATTTTTCGAAACTCTTTTAATTGATATTTTCATAACTTTGAAAATAAAAGAGAAAGAAAAACATTTTTTCAAACAAGACAATTTCTTAGAGTGGATCTTGGTAAATGACATGTGGCTCTCAGACACAAACTCATGCTTAGAATCAATGCTGAAGCAAAAAATGAGGAACAATGAGGGCATCTTTGAAGATTCAATATCAAATATTGGGGCGTCTTTGGGGATTCAACATCCTGATGCGAATTATCAGATCTTCTGAAGGCTTTTCCTCCATATACAGGAACAAGCAGACAAAGAATGAGGCTCCATCCAGGAGATAAAAAAGAATTAATTCATGTTGCATGCATCTTAGACATCACATTTATCATTTTTAGCATACATAATTTTTTGTAGCTTTTTGAGTCAAGTGTCAACTTCAAGACGAAAGATACTCAATTCAAAAGCACATTCAAAAGTTGAGGGTGGTTGCTCGACCTCACGACAAAGGGCACTATCTAACGACAAAATAACTTTTTGAGTCTCGTTCAGAGTCAATTTCAACTTCACAGTGAAGGATATTGAACTCGAAAGAGATGTAATTTACAAGTGTGGATTTTAACTTCACAACGAAGAACGTCCAATTAAAAGCTCAATTTCACAGAGAATCAACCATCCATGATTTCAACTTCACGAAGAAGGATATCGTGCCCGATGAAGTGATTTAACGTCAGAGCAAATATGCCATCCACACATTTGACTTCCTTAAGTCAACGATTAGAGCTCCTGAAATGATTTCTTTAACATGCAGGAATAAGCAGAGATCGCCTTTGAGATTGTTTCTCTCGAAACAAGGGTTCGTCTCGCTTGAGACTAATTTACTCAAAACAAAGTGTTGTCTCTCTTGAGACAGTTTCTCTTGAAACAAATTGTGTCTCTTTTGAGACAGTTTCCCTTAAAACAAATTTTGTCTCTCTTGAGACATTTTCTCTTAAAACAAATTTTGCCTCTCTTGAGATAGTTTCCATTGAAACAAAATCTTTGAATCTATTTTCCTTTAAACAAATTGTGTCTCTCTCGAGACAGTTTCTTTTGGAACTAAGTTTTGTTTCTCTTGAAACAAATTTTGTCTCTCTTGAGACAGTTTTCCTTGAAACAAAGTTTTGTCTCTCTTGAGATAGTTTTCTCCTGAAACACCAACCTTTGAATATGTTTCTCTTGAAACAAATTTTTGCCTCCCTGGAGATAGTTTCTCTTGAAACACAAAAAACCTTTGAAATCGTTTCTCTTGAAACACGAAAAACCTTTGAAATCGTTCTCTTGAAACACGAAAAACCTTTGAAATCGTTTCTCTTGAAACACACACAAAAAACCTTTGAAAATATTTCTCTTGGAACACAAAGACCTTCGAGTTCAACTACACTCAGCTTCAAAGGCACATCATTTACAACATAGCTCAAGGCAAGAAGGGCCATTTGCCAACAAAAGACCTTCGAGTTCGAGTACACTCAGCTCCAAGGCACATCATTTGCAGCATAACTCAAGGCTAGAAGGTTATATTTTATCAAAGACCTTCGAGTTTGATTACATTCAACTCAGAGGCAAATCAAATCTACAACATAACTCAAGGAAGAAGGGCTATCTGCCAACAAAATTGTCGAGTTCGATTCCATTCAGCTCGATGATACATCAATCGCATTACTTCTCGGTTGCAGTTGAGGTTTTCAAGTCGAGAAGAGGACCTAGGTTAGCCGTGCCTTAGTGACAAGCAACCATTTTTAAGCAGCATAGCTTAAAGTTAAGAAAAGCTATCTGTCAACGAAGATTTCTGAGTTCGATTCCGATCTAAGGTCTTTAAACCGAGAAGAAGACCGAAAGGCAACGAGAAGCTACGTGCTGATTCAAATTCTGAACTATGGCTTCAATTCCATATCATTTCAAGATGAACTCGACTTCACGACGGAGGAGTCATTCGCAACTCAATTCGACAGTGAGTTATTGAAACATCAGTCATTTTTCAACTCCACCGAACGAAAAGTGTTTCTTTTAATCTTTGTCTTATCCCCGTTACGACTATGGGCAAACAGGGACAGTTGTCAACACACCTTTTCGTCTTGGTACAACACTCTCAACAACCCCAATTTAGTAGGATTCAAAAAACAAACGTTAAAGTTTTAGTAGGATTTAAACTCCTAAAAATAGGATAGAGTTTTACTAGGATTCAACTCCTAAAAATAGGATAGAGTTTTACTATGATTCAAGCTCCTAAAAATAGGTTCCACAAGCATTATAAATAGCCATTGTAACTCACTATTGTAACACACGATTTACATACAAAATACAAAGGAAAACACAAAAAAAATACAAAGGCAAAGCTATTGTAAACGATTCGAAAAGGAAATAAAAGGTAGCATCTTTTTTACCTATATGGTTCATTTCTCGCATGTGCATGTTATTTTTCTTGAGATTTGGTTCGAATAACCCAAA